GAATTCTGCCCTGTCCTGTAAAGTTACTGTGAGAAGCATCCAATCCAACATGGTGAGTTTGGATTGTCGGTTTGGATTGGCTTTGATGAAATGGCTTGAAATCTAGGAAGATTCAAGTAAAATAAGGCATTTTCTTAAAACAAAAATTGATCACATCAGGAACTTAACTAGTTAAGGAGAGCACTGGCTAACTATCAAGTGGTTGCATTAATAAAATAGAGGAAAGATATTATGATTTGACTGAGATCATGTAAAGTGTAAATACTTATTGAGAAGCTAAAGTCTGACATAAGGGACACTGTGTGATAGACAACACAGAGGCTCTGTTCTCGAGGAGGTCAAGTTCTAGATTATATGACAAACCAACAAGCTATTACACTAATGTTAAAAGGAAATCAGTAAGACGAGAAGATGAATGAGTAGGATTCAAATACAGTTTAAGGTCTAAAGAACAGGATATTCTTTCTGTAGGAGGTGTCGGTAAGCTGAGGCTAGGAACATTTTGTTGGCCTACTTGCTACATTCATAGAGTAAGAATTAAAAGGGTCCTAGTGCTAGGGAGTTCTGGTGGCCTAGCGGCCAGAAGCTGCACTGCAATCCCAAAGACACTAGCTGCTCCCTGGGAGGATGGGCAACCTCTTCCCCTATGATTAACTACCTCTGAAAATCCACCAAAGGATTTGCTATGGGTTGGCTTTGTCTCAATGTTACACAATAACAACAACAACAGTTGCCTGCTACAGAGCTCTGGTGGCTTAGTGGTAAGAAGTTGCACTGTAATCTCAAAGGCACATGGTTTGAATCCACTAGAGAAGAATGGACAATCTCTTCCTGTGCAACTTAACCATCTCTAAAAACCTCCTGGAGGGTCAGCTATAGATGGGTTCCGACTCAACGGTACACAATAACAAGAAGTTGCCTATTTAACATAAAGTAAACATGTCTGATATACCAAATATTTACTCCACAGACACAATGTAGTTGCTGGATAGTTCAAATGGTTAAGCTCTCATCTGTGAGCTGAAAGGTTGGAAGCTAGATTCCACCTAGAGGCACCTTGGAAGAAAGCTCTGGAAATCTGCTTTTGAAAAATCAGTTATTAAAAACTCTTTGGAGCATAGTTTCACTATGACACATATGAAGTCTCCCTGAGTCACAATGACAAGATGGCAACTGGGTTCAGACTGTTGTTTGCATGTGTGTGTAGCTGCAAGCTATGTCAAAAGCCAAAAAAGTAAATTATCATGCACATTTTTAAAAGGTAGAATAGTCATAAGAAAAGAGAGAGAAAAAATTACATATTAATGAAATCGGCATCATTTAGAAACTCTAGACTTTGGAGGTAACATGAAATAGTTCAAGTCTGTCACAAGGATGGAAGCACAAGTGAATGAGAATCATCATGGCTACCCAGCGCAGACCAGGAAGGGCAAAATCAAGCCACATACTAACCCAGGACTTTCGCAGCCTACCTCCTCCCTGAAAACAAGCATTCTGGCTAGAAACAACAATTTTTAAATATATTTTTAAAATTACATTCTACAATGAAAATGAGCACTGTACCTAGTGACCTTGTATGCTTAGTTAAGTGCAGTCTATTTCTTATTCTTCTACTATAGTCCTCATTCTTCTTTAATGCTTGCTAGACCCACTAAACAGATTTCACATCCTCAATTTGTGACCCACAGTTTGAAAAACTCTAGATACTGTCTAAGGAGTTTTCCTTTTGGGACTCATCAATATGATTCTCTAATATTTACCATATTCCCAAAACGTTCTACCATCAAGAATATTTGAATTCATAGTGACCCGATAGGGTAGGGAAGAACTTTGCCACGGTATTTTCTAGGCTGTAGTCTTTATAAAAAGCAAATTACATCACTCTCCAAAGGAATAGCTGCTGTGTTTGAACCTATGACCTTTCAGTAGTCAGACGAGTGCTTAACAACTGTGCCACACTTTAATTTTTAAAGTGGTTTCACAAAGTTGTCTCCTACGATCCTCCCAACAGCAACGTGACACCGGCAAAGGAGCTCATGAGACCTGTCTCAGATTATACAGTGAGGGCCTAGCAATATGAGGACCAGAGCCCAGTGGTTGCACACCAGCAACCACGCCCTGTTAAGTAGCTCTTCTCTCTCAGAGATTTCTACCCTCTGCCCCAAGCTTCGACTTAAATACTTCTCTTGAGAGGATGAAAATTAAAGGAAAATCTAATTAATTCACTCCAAGAATTTTATGTTAAGCTTCATAGGCATACTCTTGCTAGATCCTTCATGAACCTAGGCTGAGGTGCAAGGTGGGAGAAGACAGAGAAAGGAAAAAAGCTTATCTGCACCTAACTGCAACACAGACAGTAATTTCTAAGTTGCACTTCTATTTTCTCAGTGGCATCAGTTCATTTTAACCTCAGCATAGGCCTCCCCACTTGGCTGAAGCATCAAGCTTCAGGCTGTCCCTGGAGACTGAGTGCTGGGGAGCAACAGGACAGCCAGATGGTGCTCTGCAGTGGGAGCAAAGGCCATCCAGGACAACTGCCCCCCAGGCCTTAACCACGCCACGGTGGTTTCCTTCCTTCCCTCAAAGCCCCCCACTGGAGAATGCCCAAGGGAACTTTCAGCAGCACCGTAATCACCTCCTGCACCCCAGACTAGCTTAAACTACCACCAGACATATGTTAAAGATTCTGTTTAACATCTTAAAAAGGTCAAGTCCTCTGTATTTATGGACACTTCCCCCTTCTGTTATTTGGGAGGGGAAAATATGTATCAGAGACAAGAATGCGTTCAGAAAACTAGTGTTTAAAAAAGACGTTTAAGTCCTTTATTTTTAGCTACTGACAAAGCAGTAAATTTTATAACCCTTCCTCTAGATTTTTTTTTCAAAGTTAGTAAAACAAGGCTGTTTGTTTATATGAGTTTGATAAAAAGCCAGTATTTTCAAAGAAATTACTATAAGAGGATTTGGAATCTTTAGTGAGAATTTACTGTTTTGTTTTCCACTCCTATCTCTGACAACATTTCCTAATTTTTACTATAGAGAAATAAAGTTTCCCCTTCCTAACAACAGGTAGAGTGGGGCCAAACCAACCTTTCACTACAGAGTTGATCACTGACTGGCTTAGGTTATTTGAGACTGGTTTAGGCATGGGCACAGAACCTAAGCAAAGTCCATAAGATAGAAAGATTCATTTTTGTCGCAGGCTTCAGAGAATGTGTCCCCCACTCCATCCCACCCTACCTTTTTTGAGTCCCTTGCAAAAGCTATCAGAAGCTCTTTCTTATTCCTGGCTGATACGGTATGAGGATGCAAGATGGATTACTGTGGCAGCATCAGGTTGAGAGACTTCCCTGTGTGCAGTCTAATCATGGAAGTAGACAAACTGAGGTCCAAGCAGAGAGCCTACAATCTTACGAATGTCCTTAGGAATACTGGCTCAAGCTTTGCCTACAAACCATCCTCCAGTTTTTGTTCATTTTGGTCTTTAGTTTAAAAAAACCATTTAAACTTGTTTGAGTTCTCTGACACCAGCTACCAAAATAACTTATACTGATGCAAATGCCTTGTTGTTTGTTGTTATATGCCGTAGAGTTGGCTACAATTCACTAAGACCCTATGAAAACCAAAAACCTTGCTCTATGCTGTGTCTTTCTCACAAACTCCTATATCCTCAAGCCCACTGTTACAGTCACTATGTCAATCCATTTTGTTGAGAATCGTCCTCTCTTTCTCTGGCCCTTGACTTTCATCAGCAGGTTGTCTTTTTCAAGGATTGACACCTTAAATACCCCCAAAGTGCAATGTACACAGGATTTAAGTATCTTGGGGCACAGGAGGCTAATGTGATACATGGAGATTGAAAGAAGTATTTTTTTTTCCATTTAACTTCTATTAATTCTACAGGAAATAATCACAATATTTAGCATCAATAAATTGTTCTTATTTTTAAAAATATCTTTACCATGTAGATTGCTTTACGTGAATCCTGAATTTAAAAAAATCATGAAAATATTTATTTTGTGGTAAACACTTGGCATCATTTAAAAGAGGACTTCAAATGCCACAGTTCATTGGCTTGTCATAATTATGCAATGAAGTTGGTTTGTTAGGCATATCACAATATGCACGTTAGAAGGGAGAAAGCTGAGCCTGGGGGAAGTTAAACAAGATTCTCAAAATAATTTGAAGAAGTGGATGGTCGGGATGGTGTAGAGAGAGGCAGTCCTCAAATCTAGATCTCTTATTTCCTAAATTTAAACACAACCCTGTATCTTTCTACCCTAATCTTCTGAACCAAAGATATTAAATTCTACTCTTAGAAATTGATGTATGTCTGTGCTGTTAGATTAATGCACAAACACACCCCACCATGGTCTAAACCTGACCAAAGCAGAAACTGGAATTTAGTGACCTAGCTGGTGACCTTGTTTTCTTATCTGAAAAAAGAAAATATTTGAATTAGGGTCTCTCACAACCTTCAAGCTCCAAAAGCTCTCAAATTCTAGACTCTCCTCATTCTCAATATGTTGCTAGAATAATAATTGTAAAATTATCTGTCATTTATTCTAAGCATCAGGCAACATGCTAAGACCTCTACTTGTGTTCTTTAAACCTCACATTACTCCTAAAATAATATCTCCTTTTAAAAATAAGGAGACTTGGACTCAAGAGAGGTTATATGAACTACCTCAGATCAACAAAACTTGGCAGTATTATCGAGATCTGATTCAAAATCTGACAGGACAAGAAGTTTATCCAGGCTGTGCTGTCTTGCAAAGGAAATTAGGCTCCGCCTTAGTCACCTCTCTCTACCAAAAGGGTGGTGAGCAGACTAGATGAACTCAGTCTTGCCTTGGTTCTGCTAGGCAACAACTGGGAACTGACAGAAGGGCTCCTGGGAGATTCCTCCCATGGCCCAGGGGGCGGGGCGCCCCTCTCCGCCTACCACCGCATCTCTGATCAGGCCGTTGGTCTCCCCATCCGACTCTCAGAGCCATTACCTTGTTGAGATGCGGGTTCCTGGTAACATCATATCCGCGCTTCTTCAGGGCCACCGGGCGCGCCAAGTCGGCCTTGGAGTGGTAGCCTCCGGTGGGCGCGGGGGGCTCCCAGCGCGGGATGACGCTGCAGGCCCGGCGCGATAGGAGGGCCAGCCGTGAGCCTGTGCCCAGTGCGGCGCCCATAGTCCCAGGGCAGGCCTGGCAAAGAGGAGAGACCAAGGTCAGGGGCGCCTTCCAACTAGCCAGGTCGCACGCGCGTCTCGGGGCACCGGGCCTGAGCGTGGGACGCGTCCTCAGGAGACAACAGGGGACTCTGAAGGGTTAAAGGTGCCAGACCCCGCCCCTCCTTGGCGGTCACCTGCGCGTCTCTTTAAAGAGCTGTGCGCCAGGCCTAATATAGCGCAGGCAAAGTGAAAGCAAGCCCAGGCAGCAGAGCTGGTGCGGGAAACATCCCGCACCACCACCGCCTGTATCCGCGGAGAAGCAACTGTAGGGCGAGAGGCTCCTGAGCTCCCAACTCCATTCGATAGCATGCCTTAGTCCCCACTGTCCCCAGCCCACCTGCGCTGTGCCCAAAGCTGAGGTCTAGAAGGCCCTGCTGCAGGAAAGGCAGGGCGAGGTGCCTCGGCTCCTTGCGTTGCTCCACTCGCGCCAATGGCTGGACCGCGCCAGCGACCGTGCGCGCGGGGACTGCTGCGTTCAGAGCCTCTGCGCGCAGTGCCGGCCTCCGCGGAGCTGAGAGCGCGCGTGGGGGCGCCTCGCACAAATGCACGTGGTGCTCTGGTGCCAAGGTGACTCTCAGAAAGCCTCCGGAGCCTTTCCATCTTGGCACATCTGAATGCAGAGGGAATTTAAGGCTTAGGCGGTCACCAAACACTCTTCACTTTCAACCATTTTGAAAAGATCCTGACTCTGAGATTCAAAGTTGAAATGGTCTGGCATCTCAGGGCTTGGAATCCCCAGAAATCCCCAGCATTCAGTTCCTGAGTGTTGAGACGTTACACTTGTCCTGTACAATAGTCATTAACGTATGTGGATATTTGAATTAATAAATTAAAATCATTGAGCAAATCCGCTGTTATCGAGGAAGAACCTCCTCATTACGGCCCCTCTACTGGGTTTTTGTGGAGCCTCTGGTAGATTTGAACTGTCGTAGAGGTTGGGCCTTTGGGTTAGCCGCACAACTCCTGTAGGTCACCAAAACTCCCTTTAAATGAAATATAACACAATGCACGTGAGTGATCGTTTGAAACACAATGTAATGTGTGAAGCACAGTGTACATGAATGATAAAAAATTTATACAAATTTGGTATGCACACCAATATAAAATTAAAAAGTGGGGGGGGGAAGGAAATATAGTTCCTTAGCTGCACTAACAACATTTTAAGTGCTCAAGAGTCAGGTGTGGTTAATTGACTGTCCAGATATTGAGCATTTCCTTCTTCACAGAAAATGCCATTGAGTACTGATATTGTTATTGTTATGTGCCATCGAATCACCTGTGACGGACACATAGCGACCCTATTTACAGCAATTCTGAAGGCTGTCTTGTCCTGAGCCAGTCTCTCAATTTCCAACACACCAAACCCCATTGTTCCACTTAGTGTATTAATTCATCTCATGTGGGGTCTTCCTCTCCTGCACTGTCCCTCCACACTTCCGAGCATGATGTCCTTCTCCAAGGACTAGTCTCTCCTGGCCACATGCTTAAAGTATGTGAGATAGAGCTTCAAAATCCTAGCCTCCAAGGAGAAACTTGATTTCACCCTCTCAAGGACAGACTTATTTGCTTTCTTGGCACTCCATGTTCAATGTCCATGTTCAAGACTTTTCTCCAGCACCACAATTCCAAGGCATCAGTTCTTCTTCCATCATCCTTAGTCATTGTCCATTTCTCTGATGCATAGCAAGTAATCAGAAGACCGTGGCCTGGACTAGGCACACCTTAGTCCCTAAACTGACACAATTGCTTTTTCAGCACTCTGGAGAGATCCCTGACAGCAGATTTTCTCAATGCAATTGGTCTTTTGGTTTTCTGACTGTGGGTGCTAAGATTGTTGATTGTGGAGCCAAGCAAGCTGTAACTGTTAATAATCTCAGTCTCTTCTCCACATATCATGATGCTGCCAAATGGCCCAGTGGTGAGAATCTTTGTCTTCTTGATGTTAAGATTCAATCCATATTGAAGACTACAATCCTTGACCTTGTACAACAAGCTCTTCGGGTCCTCTTAGTTTCAGCAAGCAAGGTTTTGTCATCTACATAATATAGGTTGTTGATGAGTCTTGCTCCAATCCTGATACCACATTCCTCCTCAGAGAGCCCATCCTCCTAAATGGTCTGTTCTGCATATAAATTGAAACGGTATGGATGCTTACCTGACCCACTCCTTTCTTGATTCTGAGTCATGCAGTATTTCCCTGCTCTGTTCTGAGGACTGCTTTTTGGTCCAGGTACAGGTTTCACATAAGCACAGACAAGTGTTCTTGGATTCCCATTTCCCTCAAGGTTAGCCACGATTTGCTGTGATCCACACAGAATCACTGTACCAAAATGAATTGACCAACATGGAAGAATTTAAAGAAATAACATATCATCAAGAGACAATGGTAATGAAAGAGGAAGTTCAGGCTGCTCTGAAGGACTTGGTAAAAAATAAAGCCCCAGGAATTGATGGAATACCAATTGACGTATTTCAACAAAAAGTTACTCCTCTAGATGTGCTTACCAGGTTGTGCCAAACAATCTGGGGGACAGCTACCTGTCAACTGACTGGAAGAGATCCATATTTATTCCCATAACAAAACCCCTCAAAAAAACCATGACCTGACAGAGTGTGGAAATTATCAAACAATATAGCTAATAACACACACTAGCAAAATCCTGCTGAAGATTATCCAGAAATGACTGCAACAGTGCATTGACAGAGAACTATCAGAAATACAAGCTGGGTTTAGAATAGATTGTAGTACTAGAGACATTATTGCCAATGTCAGATGGATCTTGGCAGAAAGCAGAGTACCAGAGGAATGTCTATCTGTATTTCATTGCCTATGCAAAGGCATTTAACTGTGTGGACCACAGCAAAATATGGCTAACCTTGGGAAATATGGGAATCCCAGAACACTTGATTGCAGTTCTGTGAACCTATACTTGGACCAGGAAGCAGTCTTCAGAACAGAGCAGGGGAACACTGCATGATTAAAAATCAACAAGGAGTGAATCAGAGATGCATCCTGTCTCCATATCTTTTCAATCTCTATGCCTAACAGATCATTCAGGAAGCTGGGCTTTATGAGGAGGAATATGGTATCAGCATTGGAGGAAGACTCATCAACAACCTATATTATGCAGATAACATAACCCTGCTTGCTGAAAGTGAAGAGGAGCTGCAGTGCTTGCTGCAGAAGGTCAAGGACTGTAGTCTTCAATATGGATTGAAGCTCAACACCAAGAAGACAGAAAGATTCTTACCACTGGGCCTATGGGCAGCACCATGATAGATGGAAAAGAGATTGAGGTTGTCAACAATTATAGCTTGCTTGGCTCCACAATCAACACTCTTAACACCAGCAGTCAGGAAATAAAAAGACTAATTGCATTGGGAAAATCTGCAGTCAGGGATCTCTCCAGAGTGCTGAAAAGCAATGATGTCAGTTTAGAGACTAAAGTGAGCCTAATCCAGGGCATGGTCCTCATATTACTTGCTATGCATCAGAGAGCTAGACAATGACTAAGGATGACAGAAGAAGAATTTATGCCTTAGAATTGTGGTGCTGGAGAAAAGTCTTGAACATAGACATTGAACATGGAGTGCCAAGAAAGCAAATAAGTCTGTCCCTGAGAGGGTGAAATCAAGTTTCTCCTTGGAGGCTACGGTTTTTAAGCTCCATCTCACATACTTTAGGTATGTGCCCAGGAGAGACTAGTCCTTGGAGAAGGACACCATGCTTGGAAGGGTGGAGGGACAGCATGGGAGAGGAAGACCCCAAATGACATGTACTGATATAGTAACTGGGGTAATGGGGTTTAGTGTGTCATAATGAATGAAACTGGCTCAGGTAAGGGCAGGGTTCAGAGGTGCTCTATGTAGGGTTGCTATGAGTCACAGGCGACTCCATGGCACATAACAACACCACTATATATTTGTTAGGTTGATGATTGCCGTACAGTCGAGCTCTACTCATAGCAACCCTATAAACAAAAGATCTGAAGCCTTTCTATAATTATCATTGTTTCTCAGTTTACAAATAGATTATATATATATATGTTGTTGTTATTATGTGCCGTTGAGTCACTTGCGACTCATAGCGACCCTATGTACAACAGCCCTAAACCCTGCTCTATCCTGTGCCAATTGCACTGTCTCTGACACACCCATCCCGATTACCCCAGTCACTGAATCAATCCACCTCATAGAGGGTCTTCCCCCACCTGCGCTGTCACTCCACCCTCCCAAGCATGATGTCCCTCTCTAAGGACTGGTCCCTGCTTATAACATGTCCAAAGTATGTTAGACGGAGCCTCAGAATCCTTGCCTCCAAGGAGCAGCCTAGTTTAACCCTCTCCAGGATGAAACTTTTTGTTTTCTTGGCAGTCCATGGTACATTCAATACTCTTCTCCAGCACCACAGCTCAAAGGCATCAATTCTCCTTTTGTCCTTCCTAGTCATTGTCCAACTCTCTGATGCATAACAACTGATTGCAAAGACCATAGCCTGTATCAGAAGCACCTTAGTCTCCAACGTGACACCATTGCTCTTCAGTACCCTGGAGAGGTCCCTATTAGCAGACTTTCCCATCACAATACTTTTTTCTTATTTCCTGCCTACTGGTGCCAAGAGTGTTGACCGTGGAGCCAAGCTGACTAAAGTTGTTAACAATCCCAATCTCTTCACTATCCATCCTGATACTGCTAATTGGTCCAGTGGTGAGAATCTTTGTCTTCTTGAAATTGAGCCTCAGTCCATACTGAAGGCTGCAGTCCTCGACCATCTGCAGGAAGTACTTCAGGTTCTCCTCAGTTTCAGCAAGCAGATTGTTGATAGATCTTCCACCAATCCTGATGCCACACTTTTCCTCATAGAGCCCAGCCTCTTGGATAATCTGTTCTGCATACAAGTTGAAAAGGATGGAGATAGGACATATCCCTGGCGTACGCCTTTCCCAATTTTGAACCATGCAGTGTTTACTTGCTCTATTCTGACAACTGCCTCTTGGTCCAAGTATAGGTTTCTCATTAGTATGATCAAGTATTCTGGGATTCCCATTCTTCTCAGAGTCAGCCACAGTTTGTTATCATCCACACAGTCAAATGCCTTTGCATAATCAATGAAACACAGATAGACATTCCTCTGGTATTCCCTGCTTTCAGCTAAGATCCATCTAACATTAGCTACAATATCCCTAGTACCACGACCCCTTCTAAACCCAGCCTGGA